AAGAGTCCTCTCCTGCTGATGTTCAGGTGTATATCAGTATGTAGTGTCTCTACTTTAAAGAGTCCTCTCCTGCTGATGTTCAGGTGTATATCAGTATGTAGTTGTCTCTACTTTAAAGAGTCCTCTCCAGCTGATGTTCAGGTGTATATCAGTATGTAGTGTCTCTAATTTAAAGAGTCCTCTCCTGCTGATGTTCAGGTGTATATCAGTATGTAGTGTCTCTACTTTAAAGAGTCCTCTCCAGCTGATGTTCAGGTGTATATCAGTATGTAGTGTCTCTACTTTAAAGAGTCCTCTCCTGCTGATGTTCAGGTGTATATCAGTATGTAGTGTCTCTACTTTAAAGAGTCCTCTCCTGCTGATGTTCAGGTGTATATCAGTATGTAGTGTCTCTACTTTAAAGAGTCCTCTCCAGCTGATGTTCAGGTGTATATCAGTATGTAGTGTCTCTACTGTGACATGTCTCCATGCTTTAATGTTCAAAAAGCTCTTTATTTTTCTCATACTGCCTGTGCTGCAGCACTTCCAATCTGCTCTGATTGGTTAGCTGGCCGGCTCTGTTGTGATTGGTCAACATATATAACACACTGCAGGAAAGGTAAAAACCGCAAAAGCAGAATAGGGCCTCTTTAAAAGGATGATCAAGTTATTGGAAAGGAGGGATATAGGGTGGTGCAGGAATGGGTCATAAAAACCCAGAAATCAATGCATTTCACCACTTCCAGTTTCATGTTCTTAAAGTCAGCGGTTTTTTTTTTTGTAACTTGGAATAAGGTCTGTGGTTAACACAAGCCTATGAGAAGTTCTCGGTATCTTCTACGACATAAAATACGTCAGTAAATACCCCACTGCTGAATGTCTGAATCTTTTATATGTCTGAAAAACAGCAGTTGCTAACAAGTGGCTAATTGAGACTACAAGGAACATTAGCCACCTTTAGCTTAGCGGTGGTGACGTGAAGTCATGTGACCGCGCTGTAGTTCCTTTATAGCCAAACATTAGCCACCTTTAGCTTAGCGGTGGTGACGTGAAGTCATGTGACCGCGCTGTAGTTCCTTTATAGCCCAACATTAGCCTCCTTAGCTTAGCGGTGCCTAACGTTAGATTTTTACTTCTGCCTATTTTCCATTTAGGCTTAAAAGAAAAAAAATCATAAAGTATTGTTAATATGTGGAAATGATCCTGCTGAACAAAACATGCAAGTATCATAAAAGTGTGTTCGCCATTTATTTAGTGGGAATGCTGATACAGCTTTCCAACTATCTGTTATTCGACGCACGAAAATCTTTATTATTCTGCCGGGTTATTTTGCGCAGAAACTCAGTTCAAACATCAAAACGTTCAGCTCGGTCGGGAATCGATGGCTATTACTTTCTCATAATTCCAGAGATACATCCCATAATTCATCACATTTTTAACATGGAAGTCAATGGAGAACTCTTCAGACTTCAACAATCTTCATGCAACTTCAACTGCTAACTGCTCCTTCATACTTTCACTCAGAAACCTCATTCCAACTTTAAAATGTTACACATCTTTCTGACATTATTGGTGTAACACAAATCTGATTCACACTTTTAGAAATATTAAACATTGTTCAGACCTTGGTAAAGAGGCCTTCTTCAGATTTTAGAGTGCGTGATGTCAGTGTGAGGACAGATTTAATTTTGCCTTCAAATTTTCCAAACCCTACATTCCTGAGACATAATTTTTCATGAGAAACATAGAAAAACATCTCGTAGCTTGAAAAATGTAAAAATAATTAAGCAAAATAAATAAACAAAATGCCTCTTGAGGGCATGAAGTGACAAAAACTTTCAACATGTCTCCATTAAAGCCCATTGTAAGTTCAGCCTCATATTTCCCCACCACAGCAGCCGTACACCTTTAGTTAATCTGCCAAAAAGGCCACATTATTAACCCGGAAGTACACAAAAAGTACACTTCAGATGCTCAAGTTCCTTGACATGCTTCACGCTTTGAAATTTCACTGATATCTGTTACGGTTCTTCAACAAAACGTTCACATGTAAGAGGTTTATCTCTCATTCAGAACAATGCAAATGCTCTCCTCTCACTGATTACTGCACATCACCATGGAAACCTTTGATCTCTGGACACGTCATTGGCTCCGTGTCATGGAACACGATGATGTCATAACTCCAACTGACATGCTCAGAGCAGCAGACTTCAGATAATGGTTAACACAGCTCTACATCTAATCTGATGTTATGTAATGTGGTGTTACTATCCCTCGCCATAAAACAGCAGCAGACTTCAGATAATGGTTAATGGTCCTGCCTTCGACAGCTCTACGTCAATTATGGGGTGTCATCATATGTCGTCTCCATGGAAACGCATCCCTCGCCATGAAACACAATGTCGCTGTAACTCCAATGGACACGGTCCGATCGTCCCCCAAACTTCGCTTGTATATCACCGATCCATGCCTCAACAGCTCTATACCAAATCTGAGATCTCACCATAGGCTGTTGCCATGAAAACGCATCCCTCACCAAAAAGCACAATGTTGTAGTGATACCTATGCAAATGGTCTAAAACAGCACCAGACTTCAGATAATGGTTAATGGTCCGGCCCTCAACAGCTCTATGTCAATTATGGGGTGTCATCATATGCCGTTTCCATGGAAACGCATCCCTCGCCATGAAACACGATGTCGCTGTAACTCCAATGGACACGGTCCGATCGTCCCCAAACTTCGCTTGTATATCCCCGGTCCATGCCTCAACAGCTCTACGCCAAATCTGAGATCTCACCATAAGCTGTTTCCCTCGCCAAAAAACACAATGTTATCGTAACTGATATGAAAATGGTCAACACACCACCAGACTTCAGATGACAGTTAAAGGTAGGGTATGTAAGTTTGAGAAACCGGCTCGAGATCGCTAGAATTTGAAAATACACGACCGGAGAAAATTTGCCACTTCCTTATAGAGCCCCTCCTCCAACACACACATGACCAATGAGGGCACGAGATAAATTTGTGCACAGATGGAAGGCTGACAGGCAGGTAGGCCATCCAGTTATTTTAGCCGGGCCGGCTAAAATGATTGGTTGTGCTTGTTACAGTACTACGGCTTCCACAGATGACATTTCTTTATGGATTTGTTGTCAAAGCACTTAAGATATTCATTGCTATCGGGATGATAAGAGCATTCCATGGAATATAACAAAAAGTGTATCTCGAGCCGGTTTCTCAAACTTACATACCCTACCTTTAATGGTCCAGCCCTCAACATGTCGATGTGCCATTAGTGAGTTTTCCTCAAAAGCTGTTGCCATGGCAACGCATCCCTTGCAATAAAACACGATATTGCTATAACTTCTATGAAAATTGTCAAAAAGTGCTAAAACTTCACGTGTGCTAACAGTCCAGCCGGGAAGACATCTACGGGAAAGTTTTGAGATTTCTTCAAATGCCGTTGCCATGGCAACACAATGCTCTCCATGAAACACGGTTTTCTCATTCCAAACAGCCCAAAACTTCACAGGTTTGGTAACGATGCAGCCATCAACATATCTAAGCGTGGTGTCATCAAATACCGTTGCCATGGCGACAGATAATACGCCATCAAGTTAGTTCAATAGTTTGCAGTTCAAATATTCTACTGCTTTTTCAAGCTTCTTTACTTTCTTTTCTTCTCTTATCACACATTCAAGCTACCAGTGTTCATGTATCATTTCAATCTAAATTCTTCACTCACTTCTTACACATTACTTTTCAGCATTAGCAATTCAGCGTCAGCTTTTCAGCATAAAGCATTCCCACTAGCAATTTCTTCAGGAATTGCATTCTCTAGTTTCCTACAATATCCCCAAATCCAAAGTAAAAATCCCATAATTTCTTTGTCGAGGGAGCCCTAGCAATGCTAACTTTCGAGTCTCCTCATTAAATCCCTTTTCTTGCAGGATTCATCGATGCAGATAGCAGCGAGAGTGGAAGACAGAGAGGAGACAGTAATCAGAGGCTAAATCCACTCAGAGTACGACTCTCCGGAGACTTTGCTGACACATCAGATACACTTGCATCTCTCCAAAGGTATTAAAGTGACGATGCTTCACTACCTCCAACCTCCCATCGTCATCTGTTTCCTCCCCCATTCCCTTGTGAGCTAGTCATGGCTGCCGGTTGGAAAAAGCAGATGTGAAGAGACAGGTTCTTCCTAAAAAGCGCCTGAGGCTTTCACAAATGTTTTATTTACCCTGCCAGAATGACAAAGCATAATGTGTTGGTGTTCACAGTCTCAGAGAGTGTTTAGAGGGTTGTATTTGCTTGCATGTCTCACATTATCCTGCTTTATTACAGTGTATGACATCGCTTGTAAGAGACAAGGTGATTTTTCTCAAAGTTTCCCTATATTTTTCCTCAAAGATGTACATTTAAAGTCCAAACCTTTGAATTTAAGCACATTAAAAGTTCAGTAATCATAATGGAAAAGTATGTTTTTACTGAGTTTTGAATTTTGAAAGCTTAATATTAAACATTTAAAACAATAATAATAGATTCAATTTGTATAGCGCCTTTCAAGGGACCCAAGGCCGCTTTACATGGTGAACAAACAAACAAGGGCAAATAAGAAAGTAAAAAAATAAAAATGAATAAATAGCAACAGTAATTGCGCACTGTCACTTTAAGAGATCGTATCCTGCCACATCTACTCTCAGTGGATTTTACGTGAGATACAAATCTTTTGCCATTTCTTTAATACAGACTTAATAAAACCGTTTTATTTCTATTTTGAGATGTTTATATTTTAGAATTCTTTTAAATTTGTCATTATGTGCAATGCAATTCCCAAAATTTACCAAATTGGGATCAATAAAGTAAATCTTATCCTATTTTATCTTATAAGTGTATTTTTAAAAAAAAACCACATCACATAGTCATGTGTAGGAGTTGATGATCAGCTAGATTTCATTTCTGCTACTACTGTGATTTTGGAGATTTTGTTTATAAATTAACTTTCTGTTCCTCTTACCAGACGGGATCGGCGTTGACCACGTGATCGAACCACAGGATGTACAGACAGAACAAACCCACGATCAGAGCGTGCACAGTCGACACCAACCTGCAAATAAACAAACAAAAAACATATTAAAACAATTGGAAACATGATGACAGATCTATAGTTCAGTTTACAGTCAGTGGATTTGATCAATAATCCCTTAAAATTGTGAATGGGTGGGGGCTTTTTCTCTCTTGTTGAGTAATGTGTAATTGATCACATTAATGTTATCCATGCCACGTGACGGTGACTCCCTCTTTATCCTATACACTGCAAATCTCTGACCTTTGGAGTGTTTATCTGGGCCACTGAGCAGATACTCAGAGGCTCTTATCTCTCAATGCCAGAATCAAAGTTCCTCAACTGTTAACATGCCGCCTCTGGAGGGGACAACAACCCCCGAAAGACCCTGGCTCTTTGCCGTTAATAACTGTGCAATATATACTAGGGATGGGAATTTGAAAGCAAATTTATATTAGAATATTGGATCCCCAAAAAAACCAAAAAAATGATAATACATTTTCAAATATAGAAACCAAACCAAGTTTTCTTTGATATTTTTCTTAAAGGTCTCCTATTATGCTATTTTTAGGCATAAATCAGGGTATATGCAGGAATCTTGAAGTCAAATGTAAAACCTTTTAAGACCTTTTTTAAGACCCTTTCCATACATTTTAAGACCTCATCGCCATTTTGAGTTTTAACCGGTTACCTTGGCAACACATTTGACCTCACATTGACTATATACAGTATTGATTGTCCTTCCTCCTTGTCTTCCAACCATTTGGACGCAAACTTGCATTTCCCCATAACGATGTTGTTTAACAACCGGCGTAAACGGACCTTCGCATGCTATCAAGCAGTGAGCGTGCGATGTCCTGTTCAGATGACGTCAGATCCAACGGGATGCCATAAATAAACTACACAGAATCACACTACGCAATGATTACATTCAGGCAGACTGTAGAATACAACCTCTTTGGACAATTTATATACTTATTGAAAACAAGCTACAAAATGTAATACCTTGGGAAATGCCGTTTAATACTTTTTAAGACCCCGCGGACACCCTGTGAAGGTATTATTATTCAGATTCTGACCCTCAGACCCTTAGTGACTGCATGAGTCCAGTTTTACCGCTGAATCAGAGCGAAGTGTCTAAAAATGGAACGTACTCGGAGGAACTTGGCTAAAGGAAGTGGGAAAAAACTTTAATATAGCCGTGTGTGTGTAGGTTATGTTACCGCTCATGCTGCCACTCTCCGGTTGTTATTTTGATATGTTGTATATAAATAAACAAATGCACGTGATTACTTTAACTACTAAGGTTCATATGACATTTTATTTAAACTTCCTAAATTATATAAATATTTGTATTCAATTTGATCTTTTACTTATTTTGTTTATTGATTATTAATTGTATTTTTTATTGGACATTACACTCTAACTTTTGGTGTTTGTATAACTAATGAAGCTCAGCGCAAGTTCAGCGAGGAAGACCTTCTTTACTCATTTATTTAATATTCCAATGTTACTACTCTCAATAAGTGATCGGGGGCGTCACTCCCCAGCTTAACCAATCATTTCGCTCTATTCTCACAAGCCTATCATAGCGCTCTGCTAATCCTTTTAAATCTGCTCTCCCCTCTGACAGCTGTCATTTCAGGTGACTCTACGCAACCCTCCTCTACCCCTTTAACCTCCTGTCCCTCTGACTCCAGGGTCAAGCTAAGCCACTCTCCTTCAGATCGACCCAACTATCCATTCACCACCAACAGGGTCAAGCTAAGCCACTCTCCTTCAGATCGACCCAACTATCCATTCACCACCAACAGGGTCAAGCTAAGACACTCCCCTTCAGACCGACCCCAACTATCCATTCACCACCAACAGGGTCAAGCTAAGCCACTCTCCTTCAGACCGACCCCAACTATCCATTCACCACCAACAGGGTCAAGCTAAGACACTCCCCTTCAGACCGACCCCAACTATCCATTCACCACCAACAGGGTCAAGCTAAGCCACTCCCCTTCAGACCGACCCCAACTATCCATTCACCACAACCAGGGTCAAGCTAAGCCACTCCCCTTCAGACCGACCCCAACTATCCATTCACCACAACCAGGGTCAAGCTAAGCCACTCCCTTTCAGACCGACCCCAACTATCCATTCACCACCACCACCAGGGTCAAGCTAAGCCACTCCCCTTCAGACCGACCCCAACTATCCATTCACCACCACCACCAGGGTCAAGCTAAGCCACTCCCCTTCAGACCGACCCCAACTATCCATTCACCACCACCACCAGGGTCAAGCTAAGCCACTCCCCTTCAGACCGACCCCAACTATCCATTCACCACCACCAGGGTCAAGCTAAGCCACTCCCCTTCAGACCGACCCCAACTATCCATTCACCACCACCAGGGTTAAGCTAAGCCCCTCCCCTTCAGACCGACCCCAACTATCCATTCACCACCACCAGGGTCAAGCTAAGCCACTCCCCTTCAGACCGACCCCAACTATCCATTCACCACCACCAGGGTCAAGCTAAGCCCCTCCCCTTCAGACCGACCCCAACTATCCATTCACCACCACCAGGGTCAAGCTAAGCCACTCCCCTTCAGACCGACCCCAACTATCCATTCACCACCACCAGGGTCAAGCTAAGCCACTCCCCTTCAGACCAACCCCAGCTATCCATTCACCACCACCAGGGTCAAGCTAAGCCACTCTCCTTCAGACCAACCCCAACCATCCATTCACCACCACCAGTGTCTAGACCCCGGGGGGTTTCATCGGCTCGGTTCTCCCCTCCCGAATGATACTCCTGCACAACGGGGCCTAATCGCCAAAACTCAATTAAATTTATTTGTGTATTCCTGGCAATAAATATGTATTCTCACATCTAAACCGTCTCTCCTGGTTGAAATGTTGTGAAATGAAGCAGCTCTCACAAAACCCAATATCCTCCGGGATAAATAAAACATCCTGACTCCGTTTCTCTCGTTTGCATTGAGAGGTTCCTCCTAAATACACTTGTAGAAACCATTGATTGCACGATTAAAAAAAGAGTGCAGACAACAACAACCACAACAACAGTCTTTTAGATTATGCAGCCACGCTCGATACCAGACCGCCTAACTCTCTCTTTCTTTCTTTGGGAAAGCTTTCTCTCTGCTCTCCTTGCACTTAAGTCGTTGTTACATAAACATCAGACTGACACACTGAGAGCAGCGTTACGCAAGTGCTCTCTGAAGTAAACCATCAGCGCCTGGCCTTTGCATTTCAGTCCACAATACTTTCAAAAAAAGGACACAAAGGCAATTGTGAGCTATATGAATGAAAGCTGAGTCACAACGAGAGAGAGAGAGACATATTTAATTGAATTGGGGAGAGAGAGAGAGACATATTGAATTGAATTGGGGAGAGTGAGAGACATTGAATTGAGGAGAGAGAGAGAGAGACATATTGAATTGAGAGGAGAGAGAGAGAGACATATTGAAATGAGAGGAGAGACATATTGAATTGAGAGGAGAGAGAGAGAGACATATTGAATTGAGAGGAGAGAGAGAGAGACATATTGAAATGAGAGGAGAGAGACATATTGAAATGAGAGGAGAGAGACATATTGAATTGAGGATAGAGAGAGAGACATATTGAATTGAGAGGAGAGAGAGAGAGACATTGAATTGAGGATAGAGAGAGAGACATATTGAATTGAGAGGAGAGAGAGAGAGACATTGAATTGAGGATAGAGAGAGAGAGACATATTGAATTGAGGATAGAGAGAGAGATACATTGAATTGAGGATAGAGAGAGAGAGACATTGAATTGCGGACAGAGACATATTGGAGAGAGAGAGAGAGAGAGAGAGAGAGAGAGAGAGAGAGAGAGAGAGAGAGAGAGAGAGAGAGAGAGAGAGAGAGGCTAATAACTAAGAGTCATTTTTAGAGGCCGAAAGAAAAGTGCTTCTCAGAGAGTCTTTATATCTTACATTTAGGGCATGCTTTCTGCCGGTGAATCCCTAAAATCTAGAGGTGAAATACTGTATGTTTAGTGATTAATACACACAGTATTTTGTGAAATATCTGTTCCAACATGACAAAGTTTACGAGATGGTTAGCACATTGCATCCATGGTTTAAAACGCTACACATTTTTTTTGTCGTTTGTTGAAAAGCTCAGAGAAATTTCATTTACACTTTGGGAAATATGCTTATTAACTCCATTTCCAATAGTAAAGTGGGTTGATTACTGGTGCTATTGACAAACAATGAAGCTGGAGATAGCGGTTTAGCATAGCTTACGACAAAGACTGGAACAAGGGGGTAGTGAGCTTCAGAGGAGCAGCAAGGAGTTTTGTTAACAAAGGAGCTCATAACTAAGCGTCTGTGAGAGATGTTATGTAACTACGAGTTGTTGTTGGCCTCTGAACTTCACCCTGAGAGTTTCTTAAAGTGCTTCACGGTACAGCTGTGAGGAATGTTGATGAGTTGTCCAGAGGCACACAAGGGGCCATCTTTAAAAAGAGGTGACGGAAAAGTGCTATTCTGGGGGCGTCGTGGCAACACTTCCTGTACGAGTGAGCAGCGAAAGAAAACTTTAAAAATGCACTTTTTATATAGATTCAATCCAGGGGTGTCCAAACTTTTTTCTCCGAGGGACACATACAGAAAAATATACGAAGGGCTGGGCTGCTCACAGGAGGTTTATCGCCTTATCAGTTCAGTTATAAGTTAGCAAAATCAATCAAATGTAGGTGCTTGAAAAAAACTGCTTAAATCAAAGCTCTCCATACGGTTTAATAAACATTTTTGGCAGTTCATTCTTTAAATGGATTGCTTATAATCCCTCCACCTGATCCTGGGTGTGGCATCATTAGCAGGCATTATCATTGCCAGGCGTTATCATTGCCAGGCGTTATCATTGCCAGGCGTTATCATTGCCAGGCATTATCATTGCCATCGACTCCGAGTCCCTCCAGGATGACTGAACTTCTCACGTTATCCCTAAGGAAGATGCCAGCCACCCTCCGGAGAAAAAAAAAATGTCTGCCTCTTCAAATTCAATTCAAAGGTTTTATTGTCATAAGCTACTATATAATCAAATTTAAAAAATAGTGCAAAAAGTCTATATACATGTAAATAGAATATGATATGTACAAGAACAGAGTATGAAATCAAATATTGTACATTAACGTGTTTTTGCAGTGATAACTATTTATATAAATAAGTACATTGCAAGATGACAAACGGGAATGTTTATCGGGCTCTTGTATCCACTATCTTGTTCTTTCGGTTATGCCCTAATCATATATAAAGTGTGAAAGAGAGGTGTGTGTGTGTGTGTGTGTGTGTGTGTGTGTATGTGTGTGGCCTAGCATTACTATACTTGTGGGGACCTAAATCTGTTTACAGTCACGTGTGGGGACTCGCCTCCCTTATGGGGACAAAATGGAGATCCCCTTGAGGGGAATCATTAATTTTAGGGTGAAGACTTGGTTAGGGTTAGGCATGTGTTGGTTATGGTTAAGGTTAGGATAAGTCTCCAGGAAATGCATGCAAGTCAATGTAATGTCCCCTGAAGTGACGTATACATGGTATGTATGTGTGTGTGTCTCACCTGGAGTTCCACTCTGTGCGTTTGTTGAGAGGAACACGTCCATACCCCGGCGTGATGATCCAGGAGAAGTGAGGGCTGGCCACCGAGAAGAGGAACTGGAAACCCACAAAGCTGCCAGCGACCACGGTCAACTCTCTCGTCTCCATCACTCACCTAAACACCCGACAGAGGGGGAGGGGGAGATACACAAGGACAGGTTCAATCGATGACTGTCATGCGGCAGTAGAAGTGGATATATCGCTTTTCCTAAGCTAGGTGGAATAAGGGCGAGGGGTTAGAGCAGTGGTTCTCAAATGAGGGTACGCGGACCCCTAGGGGTACGTTGGAGTACTGCAGTGGGTATGTGAGATTTATTTTATGTTAATGAAAAAAAAAACATTAGTAATGTATTTAAACAAACTACTAATAGTAGATTAACTACTTTATTCAAAGGTTTACAGAAACTCTGGATAATAAAATGGGGAAAATAAACGGGGTGCTCTCTTTTCCTCTCCCTCTCCTGACAGCCTGTCAGTCTCGTGCAGCTCGCTGAACCTATAATAAGTGACCCGACAGTAAAGAATACATATATTTCTTATAACTATTTTAGCTAGTTCCAGAGTAGATAAACTAACTAAGTGTGTTAGGTCTAACTGTATTTTGCTCCGCTCACCGGTCCGTCACAGCGGCGGAGCTGTGATCATGCAGAGCTGCGTGTTCTCTGTCAGCAGCAGCTGATCGGATCTCTCTCTCTCGCGGCCGGTTATACTTCACTCGCGTTTATGTCCAAATCTATCAGATCTAGCTAGTTCTAGTTAATCATATGACTGCCTGCTTATCAAAGGACCTAAACAATAAGCGTTGCTTGGCAACGGCTTGTGGCTGCAAAGTATAGCATTATGCATATGTTTATATGAGGGGTCAAAATCCCATGCTCATAAAATGCTCATATATCTTTTATATCTCTTCATTCCCCACGCCCCAAAATAAATAAATATACCAATTTTAGGAAAAGTAAGGAAGTTTGAGCAGTGTGGGTTTTATATTAACAGTTACACATATTTCAAACCATGAAGTGTAATAACTGCAGTTTGCCTTCCTGTCAGAATGACAAAGATCCTCAGTGAAGCACAAACCCATGTTTCACTACATTGTAAATACAACGTATTAAAAAGATCAGTTCAATGCAGCTAATGTCATCTTAGTGTTATTGCATGATGTTAAAATTGGTTTGCCATGAATTTAGTGATGGATTGTAAACATTTGAAATGTAGCATTTAAGTGTTTCTCAGTTACAAAGTTGTTGTTTTAATAAATCAGACACTGATGGTGCAGCGCTGTACCTCTTTATATAGGCATTTTTTCCTTAACAAATTGTTTTTGCGCTGGTACTTGGCTGAATTATTTTTTCAAAGGAGGTACATTATTAAAAAAAGTTTGAGAACCACTGGGTTAGGGGATTGGGAGTTGGAGGCAAGAGTGAAAAGGTGAGATTTGAGGGATTGTTTGAATGATGTGAGAGTGTTGGCAGATCTGACGTTTATTATTATTAAGCTGTCTTTGGCTCTTTCCTGCTGTAACAATGTACATTTCCCCTCTGTGGGACGAATAAAGGGATGGTGATTGTGATTCTGTGAAGCTGGCCCCGTGTGGTTCATCCAGTCCACAAAGAGAGAGAGAAAGGGGGAGAAACAGGAGGTGGGGGGGAGAAAATGTCCAAGCCTGTCTAATGCAAGTGACATGACATTAGACAAGCTTACAGAGAGGGAGAATGAAACGGTAAAGGAGAAAGAGAGGAAGTGTGGTATGAAGAGTTTGAATACGGTGGAACAGCATTCACATTTATAAGCATATTTTGCAACGGGATTACAGAGGCGATTTGATTGGAGCAAATCCCTGAGAAGAAAACAAAGGCTGAGCTAAAAGAAAAGAGGATTGTCCAGATGGAGCGATAAGTTCAGCTCATGAGAAATAAGACTGTGGAATACGTTTTTTGTCTGTATTTGACTTAAAAGATGCACGTCTGTCGACCCTTTTCTAGGTTTGAATCATCTAGTATTTTAGTTTATTTCCTTGTCCATGACACTGTAATTTATCTCTCAGATTTCAGTTTGATAAGTACTTACTTCAACAATGTTTATTTACCCTTATGTTTGTATCAACTGTACATAAATGGTGCAGGAATGAGTCCTAACACCCAGAAATGAGTTAGCATTTTGTCTCAAAGTTTAGTGAACGTGTTTGACAAGAAGCCTTAAAATAAGGTCTGTGGTTAACACTAGCTGAAGAGATTTTTAAATGTTTGAATACATCAGTAAATACCCCACTGGCGAGTGTCCAATGCTTATGTGTGGCTTTAAAACGTCAGATGCTAACAAGTGTCTAAATGAGACGACTAAACGTCAACACGCTAACATTAGCCGCCTTTAGCTTAGCGTCATGTGACCGTTCTGTAGTTTATTTATAGCCTAACGTTAGCTTTGTACTACTGGAGATAGCATTGATGCTTCTAAAATCATACAATGGCGTTAACATGTGGAGATAATCCTGCTCAACAAAACGTGTAAGCGTCAGTATGTGTGTTAGCCACAGAGCTTATTTTATGCAATATTCTGAAATCCAATAGTAAAATCCATTGCTTTTTATCAAAAGAACCATGTGATGCTAACTTTTTGGTGGGACTGCTAAAGCTACGTCATAACTGCATCACTCTTTAGATATGACTTCCCTTATTGAGGACACACTAATTGATCTCACAGATGAAGGTATCATCTGATAATTCTGCTGCTCTGTACAAGAAGGGACAGAGCAGACTCTTTCTGCTGAGGAGACTGAGGTCTTTCGGGTCACTCCTTCAGACATTTTATGACTCTGTTGTGGCATCAGCCATTTTCTATGGTGTCAGCATCTCGGCTGCTGACAGGAAGCGACTGAACAGACTGGTAAGGAAGGCCAGCTCTGTCCTGGGGAGTCCTCTGGACACTGTGGAGGTGGTGGGAGACAGGAGAATGGCAGCCAAGCTGTCCTCCCTGCTGGACAATGTGTCCCACCCCCTCCAGGACACCCTGTCCTCACTGTGCAGCGATAGGCTGCTACACCCCCGCTGACTCACGGAGAGATACCGCAGGTCCTTCCTTCCTGCAGCGGTCAGACTTTACAATCAGCACAGCCCCTAGTTGACCCTAGGGCTGCTCAGTTAATCGTATTTTAAATCGCGATTATGACTTGCAACGATTACGAAAACAACGTAATCGAAATAAAACGATTATTTTTTTATTATTACTTTTTTTTTTTTTTTTTTTTTCAGTTGAATTATACTTAAAGTTCAGGGTAATCAACTGTTCAAAGAAAATGTCTCCAATAAATTGATGTTTTCAAAGTAAATGGATAATCGTTTTTAATAATCGTGATATCAATTATTGACCCAGTGGAGTGAGTGGAATATGTTGAATATGTTTTAATGGCTGTCTGTTAAGGAGTTTTCAGGTTGTGACAGTGCACTGCAACATGTTTGTTGATCTTGTTTATTGGTATTTATTATTTTGATATTATTTATTTAAGTGTAGATATGAATGTATAATTTATTTTATATTGGTTTTTCAGTTGATTACCCTGAACGTATAATTCAACAGTTAAAAAGTTCAAATTATGATTTGTATTTGTGTTAATGTACAATAAATGGATGTTTTCAAAGTCAATGAATAATCGCATTTAATAATCGCAATTACAATCATTGACCCAAATAATCGAGATTATGATTTTTGCCATAATCGAGCAGCTGTTGACCCCCCCCCCCCCACAACACAGACTATATCACCCCTTGCTGCTAAATACCAACAAACTATGTGCAATATATAAATGCCGTTAATAACTAATATATACATGGCTGCTAAATCCTTAGAACTGTTACAGGATGTGTATTTTTTTTAATTATGTAATTTTGTATTATATCATAACTTAGTACTTTTTTTTAATGCATGTCACATATGTAACATGAAGCTGTCTGTGGCTCTTTTCCCTGCTGTAACGACGCACATGTCCCCTCCGTGGGACTAATAAAGGTGTTCTGATTCTGATCTGACAACAAACGCGGGCGTTGTATGTAGAGCAGGGGTTCCCAACCCCCAGTCCGCGGACCGGTACCGGGCCGTGGAGGTGTTACTGCCGGGGCGCGAAATAGCTGTGAGTTTATCGTAATATTTGCAGAATTATAAACATATCAAAATATTTTATCATAATATGTTTTTCAAAAAGTGTTTAATTTTTGCACCTATACCAGTCATATTATTTCATCCAGTAGCCTAGTTACACTTTCACCAGAAAACCGTTGAAAATGGCTTTTATGATGTTCGAGGGATTCGGCGGATCAGCCTGGTCTCAGCCTCTTGTGCGCACGAGAAAGTTACCGGTGCGCCAAGTAGGAAGAGGAGCGCACAGGAGACAACCGTTTAATTGCAGACTGTTATGTTTATGTGGGGAAATGGCAGTGCATACATTATTTGAGATATATTTCAAACTCGGACTTCATTTTCAGGACATGTCGGCCAGGGGTGTAGAGCTATTTCTTTAAGCACCGGATTCGCAAAACAGGAGAGTAAACCAGTCTGCCTTGATCTATGAATTCATGTCCGTGACTCTCACGGTATCTGCTGCCCGCAGCTGTTTTATAGAAGGAAAACCTCCTTCACTTCATGAAATGGCTGCAGCATCAGGAGGCAGCGGGACGTGTAACTGCGCCTCTGAGAAGTAAAGCACCAGCGGGTAAAGATGTGCCTTTTTACGCACCGCCTTCGCTGTGTTTACCTCCATCAGAACAGCTTAAGAGTGACTGCAGGCTGCTACGTGTTAACCACACACACACCTCTCTACACACATCGAACTGCCCGATTACTCCCCCGTTTATTAGTTTTATGAAGGAGATGTCCAGTCACCAAGGCGCATGATATGTGTGTGTGTGTGTGTGTATGTGCTCTGCTCAGTTCTGTGTGTTCGGTGTGTTTGTGTCTGTCCGACACTGGCATTTGTTTTCAAATGACCATGAACAGTAATTTACACACATCTGGCTAACTCCATAGATAGCCTATATGCGGGTGTTCCCAAAATAAATTAGTTTAATCTCGATGTAGTGCTAAATGCTGTCGGACGTGCACCGGAACGAACGTCACTATCATAAT